GTTCGATACGCTTTGTTTATATATATGCGACACCAACATGGCGGATAGCAACCGTCGTCAAGCAGTTAGTCACGTGAGTGAAAACCAAGAATAGTCTTATGACGTCGTGGTAGCATTAAACAATACTTGCCCACCATTTTACGCTCAAGTTTTGGTAGGCTCGTCCCCGTCCTCGAATCCCGAAACAAAAGACTTGTCCAAACAGGCCTAACAATAGTCTTATGACGTCAATGGGTCGWCATGGTAACCCGAAACAATACCTACCCGTCGTTTTATGCTAATGATCGATGAATAATTAATGTRCCCCGTCCTTCCCCGTCCTTTCCCGTCCCCTTCCCCGTCCAAAAAAGGGCTCGTGCTGCCCCTACACTACTACTTGCACTAATAAATATTTCTTGTTCTTGTGAAATTGAATGTAAGCTGAAATTATAGTTTCCGAAAATTTTTGTCGCTCGTGATTTTCGTATTTTTTCACAAATAAAAAACAAGTGAAAATTAGTAATAATTCAATTTGTTTATTTTTTAGTATTAGAATATTTTTAGTATCTCCACCTACCTTATTCCATCGACAGTTGATTCGCTTCACAAGAAATCTTTTCCCAGTTCCAATTTGTCAAACTAATGAAAATATTCTGTCTTTTTACAGTGGATTCAAGAACCTTAGCATATTTCTCGGTTGAGAGTAAAAATATTCACAAGAACTAATTTTTTTCACGCGGGGTTTGCCAAAGACGACCAGTGATGTCCCAGTTTGTGTGGGTGACTTTGTCATTGGAACCCAGGTCACCACGGTAGATTGGTCCAAAACTTCCTTCCTTCGAATGTTAACGGCCATTTTATGGGTACTATCGTCGTGTACGGGTTAACCAACTACGTCATTTTCGTTTACCCCATAAGTCATCTTCATCACTATTATTTTTCGTTAAATTACATTCAGTTCTCAGTGCTTGTATGGGCTCCCTGTGTTTTAACTGACATAGTTTGGCTTTGCTGTTGAAGGCCATGCAAACTAAACTAGCTCGTAATATTTGCGAATTTTCTCTCGGTTGCTACCAAAGCTTTTAGATTTTGTTTTCTTTTTTCGGTTGCGGTAAAAATACGGTTAATACAAAATCAAAACTCTTTTAGTAAACAATCAAACGTTGCTATGCAAAGGAAGTAAAAGTAAGCTTATGATTTTGTTCACCATTTTTTTACCTTCAAGTTTGTTTAGAGTCGTTTTGTCCTGCCTTGGAAATTTCCTAAAACTTAATGGATTTGGATGAAAGACACCCGAGGTAAAATTAGCATCATCCGCATTCCTCCGCAGCCGTCATTAGTTTGGGTCCCAGATCCTCACAGGCCCTCTCCAATAGCCCACATCCGAGATATGCTTCGCTAAATTAAAATTCGTTCTAAATTAAATTTATTCTTACCGCCTGTCACGAATGACTGAGTATTTAGCACGTAGCCTCATACTGAAACCTTTGTGCGTGACAAGCGAAGGATATCTCGGAAGTGGCCTATAACGGCTGCTCACTCGAGCACTACATTCCTTTCCTTTTGTTTAGTTTGATGAGGAACCAAACTAATTCAGAGCAAATTTTCAAACTAGATCAGATCAGAGCTTTATCTAGATGCTAATGAAATTTCTATACAGTCGACTCTCTTTGAATGACCACTCTCGTAAGCGACCATCTCCCGTGAGCGACCATTTTTTGAAATTCCTGTTTTGTTCCGCATATAAACTCTGTAAAAAAAACTCTCTCGTAAGCGACTGCGACCACCATTAGGGTTAAAATTTTGGAATTTTTCATTGTTTTCATCTCCCGTAAGCGACCACCCATGAGCCAGTCAATTACACATCCTTTAAAAATAATAAAATTAAGAACGTAGAGTCATCGGATATTAAGAACCCGACGAAATAATGACAAATATAGTACTGTAAGCATATAGCACAGTTTACTAAGACAGTTTAATCGTTAATATTGTAGTTTGAAAACGTGAGTTACAAATAATGGTTTAGGCTTCTTGTGTTGGGATTCCCATTGTTTGGGCTTCCTGTGTTAACTCTCTAGTAAGCGACCATTTCCCGTAAGCGAACACTTTCTCCTGGCCCTGGGGTGGTGCCTTATAGGAGAGTCGTCTGTAGTAACATTTCAAAAACTCGTGCTTCGTGTTTCATTAGGGTTTCCAAACACGAGAAAACATTTTATCGTTTTCGAGTGTTTGGAAACCCTAATGAAACACGAAGCACGAGTTTTTGGAATAAGCCTGAAGCGAGATGACGTTTTACCCCCGTCTCTAGACGATAATCCTTTTCACAATGCTTTTGTTCTTTAATTATGACTATTTTTCCTGTATTCTCTAAGGAATTAAAAAATTTTCCCGGGGGAGGGGTTCCGGGAAAAGGGTACCATTGATGCTCGTCGTATCTCTTAGGGGTAAAAATTCGCGATTTGGTTTCTTTTAGGGTGTTAAATGCGAATTTTTGAAAATCAGCAATTTGTGGGATCTCTTAGGGTGTCGGAAAAGGAGAAAAGCGGGCATCGATATTGTAGTGTTTTGTTTTGTGTTTTGTTATGACCAGTATCCTCTACCCAACCCCGAGGAGTTATTCGTTACTCTAAGTGGCGGAAAGAAATTTTCAAGGTTAGATCTCTCTAGAGCGTATCAGCAAATATTGTTACACGAGGATTCTAGGGAATGTGTTACTATTAACACGCACAAAGGGTTGTACCGGCCGAGGAGACAACCCTTCGGCGTAGCCTCTGCCAGTGCAATTTTTCAATCTAAGATAGAACAAGTGTTGCTATGGATACCCATGGTAGTGTGCAGGGTTGATGATATCCTAGTTACTGGTAAGACTGACCAAGAGCATTTGCGTAATTTGACTGAAGTTTTGGCGCGTCTAGAAAAAGCAAGCATAAGGCTAAAACTCGCTAGGTGCAAGTTCATGCAGCTTTCCGTAGAATACCTAGGGTATCGCGTAGATGCGAGCGGCTTGCACGCAATTGAGAAGAAGGTCGAGGCGATTAGGGAATGCGCCAGCGCTAGAAAACCAACAGCAATTGCATTCATTTCTAGGCATGGTTAATTATTATTCGAAATTCGTGAGTAACTATGCAACCATAACACATTCGCTGAACGAGCTTTTGCATAACGGTGTTAAGTGGAATTGGGGTAGCGCCCAGGAAAAGGCTTTCACTGAACTAAAGAATAAGCTTTCTAGTGCACCAGTTTTGATGCACTACGACGAGAATTTGCCACTTAGGTGAGACACCGATGCTTCGAACTACGGAGTGGGCGCAGTTATTTCTCATGCTTTATCTAACGGCGAAGAGCGACCGATTGCTTTTGCTTCGCGAACACKAAATAAAAGCGAGCGCAATTATGCACAGATTGAGAAAGAAACACTCAGCATTGTTTTTGGGATTAAGAAATTCCATCAATATTTGTACGGTCGGAAGTTTTCGTTAGTCACGGATCACAAGCCACTGATAAGTCTTTCGGCTTATCATTACGATATCATTTACCGTTCGACAAATAAGCACGCTAATGCCGACTGTTTATGGCGATTACCGCTTCAGGTTACATACCACAACTCGGAAATCGATGACGTGAAAATGATAAACAAGATGCAAATCGAAGTGGCACTAGGAGTTGATCACGTTCGAAATGCCCGCATGAGCCGATCCAATTCTTTTAGAGTACACGTTATCGGGACGGCCGGAAACGAAAACATCGGAAGCCATTTCTTGATAAGCGACAAGAAATAACAACTGAAGATGGCTGGTTGTTATAGGGAATGCGAGTAATTATCCCTAAAGCTTTACGCAATCAGGTTTTGTCGGAGCTACATGCAGGGCACCCCGGCATAGTTCGAACTAGCGAGAATGCATGTGTGGTGGCCTGGTTTAGATGAAGATATTTCTCAGGTTGTTCGAGGTTGTTCTAAATGTCAGCTGTCACGCAACAAACCGCCACAGGCACCACTGCATCCGTGGGATTGGCCAAATAATCCTTGGCAAAGGATTCATTTAGATTTCGCAGGACCATTCATTGGTAAAATGTTTTTAATCGTAGTCGATAGCCATTCGAAATGGTTGGAAGTAGAGATTATGTCCAGCACCGTGAGTGAAGTTACGATAGATAGACTTCGTGACATGTTTGCACGTTTTGGATTGCCCAAACAATTAGTAAGTGATAATGGACCGCAATTCATGTCACAAGAGTTTGCCGAATTTACAAAACGAAACGGAATAAAACATCCGTGTCGCACCTTACCATCCGAGATCGAACGGACAGGCAGAACGGCTGAGGGAAACGGTTCGATCAAACAGAAATTAGCTCAATTTTTGTTTTCATATCGGAATACACCAAATAGCACCACTGGTCAGACTCCAGCGGAGTTGATGCTTAAACGGCGACCGCGCACGCGACTGGATCTGTTGCGACCACATCTTGGAAACAAGATGGAAGCAAAACAGGCCGAGCAGAAATCAAAATCAATGACCAACAATTCGAAAGAGCGAGAGTTTCCGATCGGTGAGCCAGTATTCAAAATTTTCGAGGAGAACCCAAATGGCTCAGAGCTACTATCACAGAGCGAATAGGACCTGTATCCTATAAAGCATTCGTAGGAGAGGAGATATGGAGACGACATGTAGATCAAATTCATAAGCGACCAGACGACAAGTTTCGAGAAACTGGCACGGCAGAGGATTCTCTTACAAATGCACCATCCAGTGCACGCACACACAAACCGATGATATTCGAGAGCAACAACACTGAACGCACCCAAATACAAGCACAGCAACTTATTACAGAGCCGGCGATAGAAGTAGCAGAAAACGCTGCCACATTCGAGCAGACTAGTAACGTGCAAGAAACAAAAACTCGCTACCCACCACGCGAACGTAGACCACCCGCACGTTTAGGTTTTGATGAATAAATAATTTGACAACACTAAAATAAGTATGGGGGAATGTAGTGTTTTGATTAATCATTTACTCTTAGTTAGTTATTGCTCTACTATATATCCTGTACAGCTATGATTGATTGATCTGGAATGTAATCACATGATACTTAAAGCTATATGGGTAGTGGGAAGAATGCGAGTCAAAAAGTTGCGAGTTGCGAGTTGCTGAAATGAAAAAATACATAAACTACAAAAATTAAAATTAAAAATTGACAAAATAAACAAGTAAATGGGAAAATAGGGTTAGTTTAAAATTGTTAGAAAGAACAGCAAGAGCGGTGCACTCAAACAAATAAAAATACAAAGCTGCCCAAGCGAAAAAACAAAGACAAAAAATAAGTTCAGATTCGAAAAATCTAATAAGTGCTAATTTATAGTGTAATAAGTAACCAATCACTTAGACAGTTATAACAGTTATTCATCCCGACTATGTTTCGGTTATAATTCATCGATATTCACTTCGCCTCCGGTTAATAATTGTTAACTATGCTGACCGTATTTTCTGAAGTCATGTACGTTTTTCAGATCAGTGGACGAGGATTTTCGTGAGGATTTTCTCTTACAATGGAGAACCAGGTATAGGCTTGAAGAAGGCGGAAATCATTGCGCTATATATAAGATATATAATCCCTTTATGTAAACAGCAAACGCCCAGCAACCTGACATCGGGTGGCTCTCGTGTTGCAAAAATTGACAGGCACAACATAAGTAATATACTTAGTAATAACGGTCCAAAGAAAATTCATGGGGGGGTTGCAGGAATTTTGGTTGCATGATTTTTTTTTTTTTGGCTCAACCCTTGCACGTTATTTTGTTTTTGCGTACAGTTAGATATTTTTCTTCCAGCAGAAGAGGTTGCGCGATATATGTATATATATATATATTTGGTTGAAGTGCCAACTTTGGAGCCAGCGTGAACCCATCGTTATTACAACCTGAAATCTTCAATTCGTGCACAGACGAGGAAGAAGACTATTCTTGTTTGAAGCTAAGTAAACACGACGACCCGACACAGACTGATAGAGCCTTCCCATTTTAAGGAACTCAAGATAAAACGTCAGATAAAAGCTAGTCTAAGAATGTACATTTGCACGAAATTGGAAAAAATATAAAAGCTTTATTGTCTTAAAAAAGTTTCTCTCGTTTCTCTGCCGATCAGTAGTGGAAGTCAATGAAGATTTGCCAAGTCGACAAACTCAGAGCCAAGGTCGCATTTTCTCGTACTGGCACCATCATCTTTTTTCAAGACTTTACGATAATTATGTACAAGATATCTTCTTATCATCATTAAACATTGTGAAAGTACGTCGGTGGTAAAATGTTAGAACGTACCGTCACGAACCCCTACATTTTTAAACATATCTGCTAATTTATTGCTGTTTTTTTTTTTTTGCTGTGAGAGTGCTGTTTGCATGTGTAACAAGAAACGGAACGCCTCAATGTACTGAGTGATAATAAATAAAACTTTTGTTGCTTGGGTTTTGATAACCATGATTTTGATAATTTTACAAGTGTGAAGTTATCGTTAAAGTACAATTTTTTCAATAACTCGCAACTTGCAACTATCGGACTCGCACTTTACCAAGACCCGATTATTATATTACAATCATTTGAATAAAGGTCTCACGTACGATTAGAACTCTGCGTGCTTATTCTCTATAGCAGAATATAAACGAACCCTTTTAACCCTTTTAACACGACAGATATGGCTTATCCTAGGCGCTTTTTATATAAAGTTTAATATTATTTGCCGTGGTATCTCTTAGAGGTTAAAAATCATTCACCCACGCCCTTTTTTAAAGACTTCCGATATCTTTTAGGGGTCTTTTTGAAAATTTCCGACGAGCATCCCCGCTACTCTTTTCCCGGAGTCCCACCCCCCCAACCCCCGGGTCATTTTTTTGTTCTTCTTTGTTTCTTTTGTATCTGTATTTTCTTTCTTCCTTGAAACGTTTGTTGCTGCTAAAAACGTTATCCAGCATAAAGCACTTATGTTGTGAAGCTACTTCTGTCTACGGCAATACCACCGAGAAAAAACCGGTTCTCGACCGATCACCGAAGTGAAACTCGTTATGGCCAGCATAGTACTTAAATGGGTGACCGCCTGGGAATAACTGGTGCTGTAGACTTTCTTTTTGCATGTTATTCCACCTCTCTTTTCAAATTTCTTCCGTTCACTTTATTTGTTTCATTTTTTATTTTACTACTACACTCATTTTTTTGTTGTTTTTTGTTTGTTTTGTAGGTGAATTTTGTTTCTTCCTTGGAACGTTTGTTGGTGCTAAAAACATCATAATGCATAAATCACCTTACGTTTTGCAGATAGTTCTATCAACGGCAATACCAACGAGAAAAAACCGGTTCTCGTCCTATCACCGAAGTGAAACTCGGTAGGGCCAGTATAGTACTTAGATGGGTGACTGTCTGGGAATAACTGGTGCTGTAGAATTCCTTTTTGCATTTTATTCCACTTCTCTTTTTAATTTGTTCCGTTCACTTTATTCGTTTAATTTTTTATTTTACTACTCTACTCATTTTGGTTGTCGTTTTTTGTTTGTTTTGCAGCTGTATTTTCTTTCTTCCTTGAAACGTTTGTTGGTGATTAAAACGTAATCCCGCATAAAGCACCTTCAGTTTCGCGGCATTTATTGATATTTTAAATATTTTTTTTTTGCTATTGCTGTTGCTGGTTTTTCTTTTCTTTTCTTTTTTCCCCAGATTAACCGAACTTTTCCTCTACTATTTACATAAAACACATAAAAAATGTGAGAGGAGGAGGTCGGTTAAAAAAACATGACAAGCTTTTATATTGTAATAATTCCCATACATTTCCTTATATAACATGACACCACAGAAACCAAGCTTGGGCTACCTGTGCTATAAACCATGTATCTGATCCCCTTCCCCTCCCCCGTGGTGTTGTTTGTCTCGACATGTAAACGAGGCATGCACTAGGTTTCAAGCTGAGTTCAAGAGCAGTCGACGAGAGAAGTTGTTGTGAGGGCGTTTTTTGACTAAAAATCTTTCTTTTATTCCTCAAATATGGATCTTTAAGGGCTCATACAGCATCCTAAAGGTAAAGTACCTATTACATTAGGCATTTATCGTTTAGTTTATTAATTTAAAGCGATATTTTAATGTTGAATTGAGCGTAAAGAGTTCGCTTGCTTGTCGCCATGTTTTGTCGGGACTCATTCTCAACAATTTAGCTTGAAGTTCAACGATTTATTGCTTGAAAAAACTTAAATAAACCGAATTATTTATGCTCTACTTCTTCATTTGAGATTTTGCAATGTTTTCCGGTAACTTTTTAGATATTTTGTGAGATTTTGTTGCATTTTACGGCCTCGTCAAACAGACTTTTGAAGTCAGTTTGAAACGTTTATATTTTCATCCAGCGTTTGATTTTTGTTTGCGCTTGGATCATAACTAAACTTCGAGTCAAACTAAAATACGAAATAAATACAAGTCATAATAAGAATAATATATAATATAGTTCGTGTAACCTTGAAAAGTCCTTTTATTTCACCGTTTTTCCTTGAAAAGTCCTTGAATATTTGGGAAAAAATTCTGAAAAATATGGAAGCAGCAGTTGAACTTTATAATTATTTACCTTGCTCTCCATAAAAGTTGAATGCAAATTCTTAAAATAACCTTTATTATTCATCGTTGGGGCTTATTTTTATCATTTAATTCTGATCAAGATGCTATTTTTGGGGGTTTTCTGGCTATTAAGATTACTACAAATAAATGTGACGTTTATTTTAATTTTGATTTTGCATTATAAGACCCGGAGTAGTCAATGGATAAAAATCGATATCGATTTTGCCAATCGATAAATCGATAACAATTCGATACCGCTGATTTGATTGATATCAATTGTATCGATCAATCGTTAAAAATCGAACTCRCACTAAATTTTTGTATCGATTTTTATCGATTGATTTATTATATACATACATGTATCGATTTTTTTCGATTTATGTTCTTGAACAATTTCTATCGATGATCGTATGAGGGTCGTGTGGCTACGGATTTACACCACCGGAAATTACTCTTTCGTAACCATAGCTTGACACAAACCAGGAGTTTGTTATAGTGATCAGTGAACAGACAGCAAAAGTACTTGGATAATAAGCTGCCYGATCTACATATTATTACTCGTGAATTAATAGTTATAAAATCTATTACACCATCATCGATATTTTCGAATACTTTCCGTGAAATAAAGCTGATTATATGATTGTACTCATTATTGGATCGAATTAAAGCTGTCAAATCTTGATCGATAAAAATCGATTAAATCGATAAAAATCGAACCCACACCAATTTTTTTTATCGATTTTAAACGATTTCCCATAAAAATCGATACAAATCATCTGATTTCTATCGATTTTTATCGATTGACTACTCCGGGTATAAGAGTAATTGATAAGGCCAAGCATGGGCTGTAGGAGAATATTATTTGGTTTGCGACAGGGAAAATGTTTGCTAGTAGGCCAAATGAATCATTAATTACTCTCTTGGATCTGTCTATCCATGTTTTATTGATTGTTACGTTAGTCTTCGATGAATGAACATAAATTAAATGGTCGTTTTACTTCCCTAGTTTTCTTCGATTCTAACCCTCATCTTTGTCTTTCTAATGAGCCCGCTATATTTAACTAATAGATCAGGCTTAGCTATGTATATCATTATTTTACTACAGAACTAATATTGTTTTCCTTTATCAATATAGTGTGCTTCGATTTCTTGGTCAAGATTATTCGCTCCCCGCTTTTTGCTCGGCGATAGCAAATCGACATCTTCTTGCTTAGTAAAGCAAGTTTTTGCTTTTAATCTGGATCTCTTCCCTTTCGTCACAACCTGGATTTGTTTTGCTGTATCACTGAAAGATGGACTACTTGGCTGTTTCGAACCAGGCCGGGCATCAAATCCGTTTTTAGGTAGGTAGGTGATCTTTATTTATACACAACACTCTTAAACTTGGTTTTTTAAATCTAGTATTTTTTTTACTAAAATTAAGAAGTTTTTTCCTTAGATTAATGTCCTGGGAGCAGCACAAATATTCTTAATTTAAGTTGCTTAGGCCCAGGGCAAACGTCGGACTAACGTCACACTGAACCTATTTAACATAGGTTCAGTGGCTTTACGATTATTTCGCCTACGCACTGGTTCGCCTACTGAAGTTCGTCTACGTATCTATGTATCTATGAAGGGTGAGACAATAAATATACTGTAAAAAAAGGAAAAAAATAGTTCTCGTGTAAAGAATAAAACTTTTATATGAATAGCAAGGCAAACAAAGAGAAACACTGAAAACTTTAGACGCGAACGAGTAACTGGCAAGCCTTGTGTGACAACACCGTAAATCAAGAAAAGTTGTGAAACCTATCTTAAGGCAGTGTGACACATAAAATATATAAAAAGGTAAAACAAAGTGACTGCTGTTGAGTAAAGTAAGAGAAATGTTACGAATGAGTCAAGAACTTCCGAGATGGGAACGAGCTGTGAACGATCGTTGTGACAACAAAAGCCTAACGACTTGTCAAGTGAAAGCCGTAAACTATCAGATGTCATGAAAAAATCTTTGCTTACTTACCAATATCTTTATTAAAAACGCATCTTTTATCGCTAAGAACTATTTTTATAAGTATGAAGGTGATTAAAGAAAGAGAAACGTTACGAATGAGTCAAGAACTTCTGAGATGCGAACGAGTTGTTTTGGGCATACTGTAAAACATTGACTGGACTGGACTGGACTGGCCTGAAAAAAATCTGTAAAACATGGACTGCACTGGACTGGACTGGACTCGAAATCTGTAAAACATGGACTGGACTGGACTGGACTGGACTCGAAATCTGTAAAACATGGACTGGACTGGAATCGAAATCTGTAAAACATGGACTGGACTGGAATCGAAATCTGTAAAACATGGACTGGACTCGAAATCTGTAAAACATGGACTCAAAATAATAAGCTTAAATAACCGGAAATGACTCCACGACTTATTATCTTAGCTTATTATCTGTAAGCTTGATTATACATTGCCCATACATTTGGAATATTTGCTCTTTTCGGTCTTTTTCCTCTCTTTCCAAAGCAAAAGGTTGAGGAAAATTCCGAGGACTGACAAAATTGGATGAGGCCGTAGGCCGAGTCCAATTTGTCAGTCAGAGGAATTTTTCGAGTCTAATTATTTCTTGATTGGGGAGCATGAAATCCCAATACCTATTAATTACATAGCTGCCTAATTAATCCCATATCAACAAGACCTGTCCAATTAAGAAAATAATTGGACAGTTACCTATATGGGATTAATGAGAAGCTGTATAATTATAATAGTAATCATAACTAATAATAGCAGTAATCAAGTATTATAAGTGAACCGTAACAATAAAGAACGATAACCTTGAAATTTACGTCATTATATTTAACAATTTTGGCCATTCACTTTGGTTTTTAAATTTGAGGAATAGTGGAGAATTTTTAGCGAGGTGTGGGGATTCTTTTCACCCCACAAGTAACATTTCGTAAAAACTTAAAAAACTTTGGAGCGACTCTTTTTCAAACGATGAACTTTCCATTAACCGATCTTAATGCATACAGGAAGCTTGCGCTTTCTGCCTGTATTTGAATTAATTACGGCCTAGGATCGACGTCTGAATCTATAGTACAAACTTTGACAATATTTTGTCGATCTTAATGCTATTAGGTTCTGCTCATGGAAAGTTCGACGTCTGAACCGAGACAAAGACATATGACACTTAAACTACTTTTTTGAACCTTTCCTTAATAACTGTCTTGTGTACCACGTTTAGGAATGGTTTCAGGTCTTCCAGTACATCAATATGGTCTGGTGTGTAAGCAACATGATGGACGGCGATACAGTCCTAATGCCTGACTGCTCCYGTCAATCTTACGCTTGGACCGACTTTGATACTATTTGTCGATTCATACGTCGTACTGTTCAAGTACTTAATTCATGGTAATAATTTCGGCTAGTGTAAGGTTCGACGTCTGAACTGGGGAGACAAACTAACCCCAGAGTTAGGATTCGAGTTAGGATTCGAGTTAGGATTCGAGTTAGGATTCAAGTTGGGATTCGAGTTGGGATTCGAGTTGGGATTCGAGTTAGGATTCGAATATTGCAACAAATATCATTGGATAAATTCTTGGTTATTGCCAATAATTTGTTTAGAATCACAATGCAGTTCTTTTGACTAAAACATTCACGTAATACATAATAAAATCATTCCATACACTCGAATTATACAAACCTCAACAAATTATAATTTTAGGTCAAATTATCAAATTCATCTATTATATCATCCACTTAGATTTATTTGTACATAATGCTGTGAATTATTTACTTCAATTAATTGTGTTTAAACAAAGCTCAAAAAAGTATTTTCCCCAGCTTTAAAGGGTCAATAATTTGTGTTATTTCTCAATTGACACGGTTTTCTTTGTTATTCACAAGGCTTTATTCTTGTTATCACCCTCATTATAAATGCAAGGTCAATATATAGTTAGTTATTAACCCGGTTAATAACTATATATAGACACCGCATTTATAATGAGCAACATTTGATAGAAAATTTTCTCAATTGAGAAATAAAATACCTGCGGCCCTCGGGATGTATATGGCTTATTGCCTCCGTTCTCGGTAATTAACTCTTACTTAGATGCCAAAACGCAAAACATTTACTATAAATTGTAGTCAGATATCGATGACAGTAGTCATTGCAACAGTGATATTTTAACATGTGACGGATATGATATCTTCACTGTGCAGAATGTACGTTTTAAACATTAAAGAAGTAGTCCTTTTTTAACTCGTAGGAACGAGTTATTGTGAGGCGTCTGAATGTGACTCACACACACAATATGGCGGTRCAGATCGATATTTAATCGTATGTACRTATTGAGTTGAGCATCTGCCGAACCCTATACGAATTTTCATGAAAGCGAAAGCTAGCTCATCTACGGCATAAGGTCATTGAGTCAATTGATGACAGTATTGCATAAGCATGATTTAAGAATCCGCTATATTTTATAGTCATTTAATAAAATCTCTGGGCTCAGTGCATAAGTATCCACGAGATGGCCATATGGTGCGTTTGATCGTTCATCGCTGCGCTTACTCGTGAAAATCCTTTCAAC